CTCAAGAGCCTTGTTTACAGATGTGCTCCGGAATGATTGTGAGGATGTAAAAATCTGGTGGCCTGGCTCTATTTTAAATACTCTAGGTTATCTACAATTCAAAGGAGCAGTAGGAGACACTCCTGATACAACACAGAACTCTTCAGTGAAGCAAAAACTATGACACCCAATCCTTTTTGTAAGTCTTGATTTTCGTATGCTGGGTTTACTGTTGGGCTACGTACACATTGTACATGAGTCAATATGAAAGTCAAAATTCTACATAAGGCATTTTTAATATAGGCCTTAAAAATAATGATGTTGATAATGTGCATTCTAATATAATAACTTTGATAAATGCTTATTACCATTTTAAGAGAATATATGATTTAACTTCTTGAATAAAAACAATTGTTTTAAGTTTTTTGCTAACTTAAGAAACCAAAGAAAATCTAATTAAAATTAAAGTGTTCTTCTGGAATGTAGAATCTTCAGAAAAATTGGCTTCTAAATTCTGAAGGCTGGAACATTCTTATTCTTCTTCTAAAAAGGAAGAAATGTATAGTAAATTCATTGCAGGGCTCAATTTACACTTAAAATATTTATAATGCTTACTAGTGATGTAAAAAAAAGGGGGGGGTGGGAAGCCGAGTTTATGATGTCATTGATATTTGCTAAGCCAAAAAGCAGCTGTGGGATAAATAAATTATCAGTTTCACCATGAATGAGACCTTCGAAACACATGGCAGCTTTTTGCCATCTAGTTGTACAAGAGAAGTAGGAGGGAGAGCTACAGCAGCTGAAATAAGCTCTTCTACTAAGCATTCTAATTAACCAAGTCCTAATACCAATAATTAAAATGGAAACTCTACATTTAAAAACCATGTAAAGACCTTTGAATTCTGCAGTTATTAGCTTGTTTGAGACTGATTTTTTAAAGGGGTTTAATGAGCTCCTCTTAAGCATTTACCACAATCATCTCGCTTTGTTCCAAAAAAGTAAAAAATGAAACAGAGCAAATTGTGCATTATTTCAGTGGTGTCTAAAACAGCAGAGGGTACACAGACAATATACAAATTGTCTAATTACCCTGAAAATGAAGTTATTTGTCCCTTAAAACAGTAGTAACAGCTAACATTTATTTTATAGACATAGAGGGTTGGAGCTGGCACCATTTTCTTTTTAAATGTGCCTATCTTTCATTTTTACACCACAGAAACTGATGTAAAATAAGACTTGCTTGTGGTCAGCATGATTGCGCTTGCTCCTGGGATGCAAGAACACACTGTCTTCAGATTCTTTCAATTCACAGTATTTACTGAGGACTTAGAATGCCAGCAGAGCACAGGATTTCCGTTAAATCTCTCTTGGGTGGTAGTGCACGTAAGCCGTCATTGGAGACCACTGCAGTAAGCCTTCCTTTAATAAGCCATATCCCTGGGGAATCTTGCTCAAAATAAAATCCATGTCTAATTGCCTAGGAATTTTAGTAAGTTCAGTATGTCCTCGATCACTTTTTTTTTCCTCATCTGCTATCAGAATTATAAGGCAAGACATGTTTGGCAGACACTACAAAGAGGGACAGTACAAATACCTGAAATAGAACTTTTTATTTTTTGCTCTATTTTTAAAGGATGGATAATCCTTTGATCAGAAAGACCCGAATTAACTACTTCCTGATGCGTTTTAGCACAGAGTAATTTTTATGATTTTTAAGACATTATAAAATATGAAATGGAAATTTAGCCATCTGGATACTCAAACATATGAGCCTTTTCTGAAGATGGTCCCTCAGGTAACTAGAGTTGTTGACAGAAGTGCTCTCTAGAATGGCACTCTGTGTCCTTTGCTTGAGACTGACAGATTGGAATCTTCGAGTTCTCTGCATGGACTGTACTGGTTTGATCTTCAGCTTCTCTGGAAACTTCCTGTGCTGATTAACAGTGAAGGCACCCACTGGGTTTTCAAAGTCGCAAATGTAAGTGGTGTGCTATTTTTTGGAATTAATTGCATTTAGAATATTCTGAGTAGGTACTCTCTGGTACTACAAGCATATGGTCATTTTCACATAGTGCTATTTCTGTAAAATCTCCATTCTTAACACCATCAGAATCTGCTTCCTTAAAGATAGCTGGACAACATCAGAAAATGATGGCGAGTTAGTATCTTTTTCTGCTTGAGGCAGTAGATTTCATAAAACCAAAACATCTGCTAATCCTATGTCAGAAGTTTGTGCCAGAAGCAACTGAATATTGATCAGCAGCTCCAATATTACATTTAAATATCTACTTTCATACAAAATACTGTAAAATGCTATACTCCAGTGTTACTTGATGACTGTTTATCTGAGGAAAGCAGGATGGAAGTGGAATAGTGGAACAGGACTTTGGGTATTAGAGGGCTGGCCAAGGCTTTTTTAAATGCAGGGAGATGCGTTCACCCAGGTGCCATTTAGCGAGCCCTGCATTTGTCCCATCTCGGCTCCCTCCCATCAGCAGCTAGGTAAAGTCTCTTTTTGCATCTCCTCCTCACTTCTTGCCCAGCAGGCCTCTCTGTCCTCTGAGGCCATCAAGTAAAACCTTTCAACTTCTGGCTCCCACTCACTAGGTATAAACCCAGGGGTGGTTTTCCTTCCAGAATAAGGATAGGATCTCACTCTTATTCAAGGCCACATCTGTCAAAAGTGCTGGTCATCTCACTCCCCGACTGGAACTGCCCAGCAGAATTCAGTGTCGATCCCAGGCTCCCCTCACACACTTGGCGTAGCAGGTTTCAGGTCTCATGATGTGGATTCCCCCTCATACAGCCACGCCGTCCCTACTCATCTTCGCAGCTTTGGCACCTCTCACTAAGCCTAGCAAGCAGAGGTACTCAACAATTACGTGTTGAACTGAAACTACTAACTTTTAAGCATGAGTTATTTTCAATAGCTTGAACCAGAAATGAGGTGTCCCAGATTGTCTGCAGAACAGCATCTGACTCCTGCTCCACTTTATTTTCAACCCATAAGTGACCCAAAAACGAGGAGTGAGAAAGTTCCAATGACTAGAGTTGCTAGATAAAATACAAGCTGCTCCATCAAAACTGATTTTCAAATAAACAACAAATATTTTTTTAAGTATAAGTATGTCACAAGTAGTACATGGGGCATACTTATACTAAAAACAATTATTCATTGTTTATATGAAATTCAAATTTAACTGGACAGCCTGTATTTTTACTTGCTAAGTCTGACAGTTCTACCAGTGACTCCTTAAAAATTCTAAAGATGTTTCTTTAGAGCCCTTGGAGGTTTGTGTCCCAGTTCTGCAAACTTCTCACTTGGGCAGATTTTATGTCTTTTAATGCTGCTCCATTTCTTTCTGAACATCTCAGTAGCATGCTTTAGGAAATGCTGTTTACTGTACATAATTTCCATTTATTTTGCTAATTTATAGAACTCCTTTCTAATATCTGTTAATAATTTTAGCAGAAAGAACACTGTAGCATTGCTCAAAATCTCTTACAAAGCTGATATTCATCGTTATTACTATGCCTGAGTCAAGTCCTATCTACAAGTGTTAATAATTTTTAAAAATTTCATATTTTCAATTAAACCAGCAAAACACAAAACACAATATTGAAAATAAGTAAGTCTTTCATTTGGGGATTTCTTTTCTTCATTAATCAGGCACCATGAGACGTGCCATCCTCATCACAGGCCAGGGGGAGGCAGCCTGGCAGGCGGAGGTGGGGCCTGTGATGTAACCGCAGCGGGTCTTTGTTGGTGAAGCCATCCCTAAAGGGAAACGTCTGTAAACCCAAGCGCTTCAGCTTCAGTGTGAATGGGCTGGAAAGCAGAAAAGAGCTGCCTCTTAGAGTTTCCTGTAAATCTTGGAGGCTTGAAACCGTGGTCAACAGAAGAATTCCTCACAGGTCCTTAAAAGACATACCTGTCTCAGTAAGGAAAGCAAAGGCAGGTTTCTGCGAACGACTACGGCCGGGGAGTGCTAACTGCTGTGTGTGCGGCCGGTGTACCGAAGGTGATGGTGCAGTGGGAGTGAAAGGGACAGCTTGTTCCGATCCTGAAAGTTTCCCACATTAATGCATTCTTCTCTCCGTGTTCTTGACAGTGATTTCTCATTACTTATTCCCGTGAAAGCATTAAGGAGAGAGAAATACCTCCCTAAGGAGAGGGATACTGGAGTCTACCTTCCTCAGAATTTCAGCTGGACTAATCTCAGCTTCAACTTCTAGGCAGAGAAGGACGAAGTCTGCCCTAACTACTGGGTGTCACGAGAGGATAATGCATTAAGACGTTTAGCGCAACACAAGCACGGTACCTGCTTTCCACCATATTGGCAGCTCCAGTTAAGGACGGTTGTCAAGCTACCGGCACAACACGCACACACTGCAGAGATGCAGAACAATGCCTGGAAGCCTGCCCAAAACTGGTCTCTCCAAAGGACACACTCAACGTATGGGACCAGGCCAAACTCCCTGAGGGTTAGTAGCGGCATTTTGCTAGTTGGTGCGACAAAGGGAGGAACTTTGGAAAGCTGAAGGCGCGGGGCTGCTACCTGGCTGTGCAGAGCAGCAGGGCTGACAGACACACTCATTAAACTTGATCTGAAGCAAGCGAGCCAGTGAGGTCGTTTCTGAAATATTCATGAGGCGCGTTACCAGACCCCACTGAGAGGTAGAGCAGGAGCACGCACGCACACCCGGGGAAAAAGGCACTCACAACCACACACCCCACCACCCCACACTGCCGCCCGTCGCTCCCCACACGCCCGTTCTTGTCTACCTGCCCGGGAAAGAGATGGTCTCGGAGTGAGCAGTTTCCCAGCAGTTGGAGGAGCTCCTCAGACGGCCCCTCGGGGACCGCAGCGCGGAGGACCCCTTGCCCCGCAGCCCTGCAGCGTCCCTGGGGCCCAAGGCCGCGGCGCGGGGGGTGGCGGGGGTCCAGGACCCGGGAGGGCCACTCGCCAGGGCCGGGCCGCCCGTGGTGTCCCCACCTCCCATGTTGGCCTCTGCCAAGGATGCCTCCTCCAGAGCCCCCGTTCGGTTCGGTCGCTAGGTTACCTGCGTCCGGGCCGAGACGCAAACGGCCTCCCGCGCGGCCCCGTAGCCCTGTGGGTGTTAGTTCGGGGGGCGGGGCGCAGGAGGAAAGGATGACGGTCCCGGTTGCCCCCGAAGCCCCTGCACCGAGGCAGGGCGCACTCTCATTCCAGCCCCTCTCTGGCCACAACCCTGACCCCTCCGCTGCGCCCCAGACGCAACGCAGCTCGCACGGTGCCGCGTCCTCGTCACCGCCTCCCTGCTCTCCAAGGGCATTCGCCCCTCGCGCCTCTGCCCCTCCGGGGTCGCCCCCAGGCGCGGCGACTCACCGGACCCCGGCGGCGGCGGGAAGCTCAGCAGGTCCCGGCGCGCGCCGGCCGGGTCTCCATGCCAGCTCTCCGCAGGCGCTCGGGCTGCGCGCTCGGCGGCGGCGCTGGACACGGTCCCTCCGTCCCCCGCACCGCGGCTGCACAGGGTGGCCGCGGCTGTCGCACTGGCTGCGGGCGCGGGCGGGGCGGGGGCGGGCCAGGAATCTGGGTCGCGGGGAGCGGAGCGAGCCGGGAGGCACCCGGGCGGCCGGCGGCGTGGAGGCGACGGAGAGCAGCCCGCGGAGGGCGTGCGAAGGCTTCCCTGGGAGCGCGACGCGGGCGGCGACTGAGCATGCCCAGTCCCCAGCCGGGGGCGCGGGCGCGGGGCCGGAGGAGGGACCGCTGCTGGGGCCCAGAGCGGGGCCGCGGCCGCGGTTGGCCCGGTTGGTTCGCGCCCGGCGGATCCGCGGGAGGCCCGGGGACCCGGACACCTGATAGTGTGTCCTGCAGAGAACCCTGCAGTGAGGGGCAAGATGTGCTTCTCGCTTGCTTCCCAGAGAATTGTCCAGAAGGCAAAGTTTGCTTTAGCTCGGCTCCGGCCCTTGCGGCCTCACAGACTGATTCCCGCAATCCAGGTACGCACGCCCCACCTGCTTTCCTGTGTCGGGTACCAGCCTCCTGGGTGCGCGGGCAGCGCCCGCCTTTCCCGACTCCTGGACCTGTCGGGTCAAGTTCTCCAGGAGCCAGCTCTTTAATTAGGTGTAATTGAGAGATGCTGTCAGTCCTCCCAGGTCACATGTCTGCATTTCAACCAGGGCTTCGAAACAGTATCTTCACCCCGGGGTTAACTGTAATGGATGGAAGGTACACACCATGGTTGGGGGCTATTTTAGGGCGCCCTGCTTCACAGTGCAACAGGAGTGGCCCAGAATGACTCACTTAACACCCTCCGAAACCTGTGCCTTTCAGTGGTGTGGTACTTCATGCTGAATGGAGAACGTTTTCTCTGTATTCAAGCAAAACGCTGCTTACGTTAGAGGCCGCACGGGGTCAGGGAAAGAGGGTGAGCCTCGAGGTTGGCCTGATCTCAGTTTTATCTATCACCCGCGTTCCCTAGCCATGCTGCGCCTCTGTAGCCTGGACCGTGGTGATCCCGACCTCTCTGGATTGTTGTGAGGCAAGGAGGCAGAGCTCTTGCTCTGCAGCGGACCTTCACCAAGTAAGCCTCTGAAAGTTCCTCGTCGCTGGTCTGTTTTCATGACAGGTTGGGTTAGTGCTGATCTTGAAATGGTGACCATTTGTGCTGTTGCCTCCTCACATTAAATAACCTTGAACTTGGATTTTTCTAACTTTTTGGTTAGAAAACATTAGCCACTGTTACCTTTTCTTTCAGCACTCTAGTTTCTTCCTACTTCTTTGAATAAACCTCTAGGAAGGAGCTAGATCATGGCTATATATCCAGGCAATTTGCTGTGGGCAGGATTATCACCATGGGAGGGATTTCACTCCATAGTCCTCTAAAAGTAGTTTAACTGACTTGCATTCCCCCATGGTCCTTGTTTCACAACTATTGAACAAAGTAAGGTATGGAAGGAAGTTTTCTCTGCACTAATACTGTCCCACTTTTAAAAAGTATCAACATTCAAAAAGTAAACTTCTCAGAGGCGCCTGGGTGGCTCAGTCGCTTAAGCATCTGACTCCTAATTTCAGCTCAGGTCATGATCTCAGGGTGATGGGATTGAGCCCCAAGTTGGGCTCTGTGCTGGGCGTGGAGTCTGCTTAAGATTCTCTATCCCTCTCCCTCTCTCTCTGCACCCCTCCCCTGCTCATTCCCTCTCTCTGAAAAAAAGAGTAAATGTCATTAACTCCCAAACATACCATTTTCTTCATGACACTTTGCCTTTATTTATGTTATTCCACCCTTTCTGGAATACTCTTCCTTTTCCATTCCACTTCACTAAGTCCTGCCCACTCTTCAAGCTCAAATGCCACCTTTTTTCTGAAGACTGCCCGAAACCCCATGGCAGAGTTAATACTCCGCTGCCCTCCTGCTGTCTGCATGTGTCACTGTCTGCTGGAGGTGTCGAAGCCATCTAAAGCAATGTCCCCAGCGATTGTTATGTCCAGGCTCCATTCCAGGCACCAGGAAGATAGCAATGCACAAGACAGAAAGGGTCCCTGCCCTCATGTAACTTATAGTCTAGTTTGAAGAAGATAGGCAATAAACACCTGAGCAATGACACAGGTCATGTATACTTTTATCTTTGTGTTATTCATCAGATTAAGGTACATAGTCTAGATTCATCCTTCCAAAAACAATAAAGATATTAATATTGGCCCGAAGGCAAGCAGACTACATGGACATGGATCCCTGCCTGGTTGTTGCTGAAGCAATGATTTTTACTCCTTTCATTTGACTCCCTCAGCTACAACAGTCCTAATCCCAGACCATTCTAGGTCGTACAATCCCATATGAAGAATGGAAGGGGGTAGGGGAAAGCCAGAGAGTTTAGGACCTTCACCAAATTATATCCTTTCTCTAAGGTCAAGGAACAGCATTTCCATTGGTTGAATGCAACCTGGATTCCCAGCTCTTCTGAGTCACGCACCACTCCTGATCCCTCCCCTCTCATGATCTTTGGCCTCTATTTATGTCAATAGTTATTTTCTGTTGTACGTCATTTGACTATTTGGATCTATCTGCTATCTGAATAACTCAAGCTTTTTTCTCTGATTCTTTTATTGTCTGAGTGTGAGACAGACTTGTCGCCTCTTAGAACCAACTTTTCCAAAGCATACGTGTATACATGTATTCCATAGCAATTAGTGACAGCCTTGCCTCAGTTTAATGTTTAATTCCAGGGCAGGATCTCGTTCATTCTGATGTAGACAACACTTAGCAGATGACCATTATCTAATAGATCCCCAGTAAAAGGTTGTGAAATGAATGAAGGAATGTATGCAGGTTCTCAACTCTTCTTGCTTCCTCAGACTATAGTTCTTTTCTAATTACTCTATCTACTAACCCTATGATTTGGCTCAATTTCACCCTTTTCTATTCTCCTAATTTCCCTCCTGCCACAAAACCACAGATGTCTACACCTCAGAGTAGAGAAAACCTTAATTCATTAAATAATTTGTGTGTTATAATGAAAGCCGCAACCTATTATCTGTAAATCCATATCATTCTTGCTTCCTCTGGCCCACAGCAACTATCTTTAAAACTTCTTTCTCTTTTCCATCTCCCCCACCTGCCATGTTTTGAACAATGTACCTCTGGCTCTCCCCACTGCCCTGGAGAAGAGTGACCACCAACGGCCATCAGCCTAGGGATTAGCTCGTTATGGTGAATATGTCCTCCCCGACCCACTCCGGTCTCTATCAGTAGACTATTTTCTTCCATCTTTATTCACTCTCTCCTGGCTATCACCAGCTTTTCTCTCTTTCTCTTCTCTCTCTCAATCACCTTCCATCTTCTAATAAACCTACCCGGAGTTTTTTGGGAAGCCTGATTTGACACCCATGTTCCTTTAAGATGTCTAGAAATGACTGTCTAGTGTGATGCTCTCAGGAGTTCTTTAAAGAAGCCTCATCAGCTCTTTCCCATCTCCAGGCATTTCCTTTGTGCTTCATCATGGTTACGGTTCCAACTGCCAAGCTTGTAAGTACACCAAGATGTGTGACCTCATGCTCTGCTAACTGAAAAAGCTTTTCTAAATATGTCCATCATCAGACATCTGTTCTCTGTTAGTAGAGTACCAGCTCGGCACTGCTCAAGGGAAACTGCTCTGATACGCAGCATTGTCACAGGCAAGTAAGGCATTTCTCATCCGTTAATCAACACTGGAGCTCTCTGACACAAGTGCGGGAGGATGGCATGCGGAGAGGCGTACCGAATTTCAGGTGAGCCTCCTTGTTTGCATGGATCCAGGAAGCCCTTACGCGTCTCCAAGCCACAAGGATCCTTGCGCAGGTAGTTTGGCAGCAGTTAATTGTTACAATGAAGGAAGTAAAGTGTTTGGTGACACTTGTCACAGCGATGTCACATAATGATAAACGACTAGACTAGAGACTCAAGGATCTGGGCTTCGCTGTTTGTCAGTCTTCTGTCTAAAGTGAGGATGGCAGGGAGCATGTCTACCTCATGGTGTTGCTGGAGGAGTTACATGGGGGGTTTGTAAGGCGCTTAGCATCGCGGCTAGCCCGTAGGCTCGACAGACGCTGGTCATGACTCATGACTCTATCCATTATCTCTGGATAAAAATTGTATGTATCAGATTACTACGGGATCCGTGGAGGTGGCAGCTGAAGGAACTGAGATCATCTGATGGAGCTTTTAGGGAGGGTCCACAGAGGAGGAACTTGGGCCACTAAAGCCTGTCCCAGTCACAGCAGTAGAGCTGAGGAGGGAGAGGACGCTGGCTCTGTTGTCTCTGGGATTCCACTCCAGCTCATGACACAGAGTCTGGTCTTTTGCAGGCAGGTGGGTAGGCTGCCTTGCCAGGAGATTTCTCATGGAACATCACCCTTTATTTGAATAAAAACCTCCCCACCCAGAGGTTTCTCTCTTCAGCAAGGTTTGATGGAGCAATGGGCAAGTAGGAATTTCCCGCCTGGGTCATTTTGTGGGGTGGGGTGGAAGTCATGGCCCATTTATTTATTTTTAATCTGGCTCTGGTCCTCATGCTGTGACTTGAACAATTGGTAGTAGGAGATGTATGTCTTATGTATATTGGCTTCATCATGAGACTGGAAAGGCAACCTCTGGGCTTAAAAAGTATTGGGCCTTGTCTCATTTTGCTTAATTGTTGTGTAAAGTTTAGAAATTAATATAAGGTCATCCTGTTTTGCAATAGAATGGAGCTCTGGGTACAGCACTGACGTGGCAGTTGGACCCAATATGCTTCCCAAGATCTATACTGATAAAACTGTACCCGGGATTGTAGGAGAGTTAGTCATCATGCTAGAGAATGCTTGAAACCAAATACACTAAGGCTCTGAGACATGCTGCCTCGCAGGAGTTCCCAGGGTATGGCACAGAGAAGGCTTTCCGGGCCTCAACCCTGGAAAAAAATGCAGTCTACTTAATAATCATTAATTGAACACCTAGTGTAGACAATGTGTTATGCTAGATACTGGGGAGACAAAGATGGATAAAACACTGTGATCTTGAGGAACTCATATCCAAATAGAGGCAAAAACACCTCTGTACACACCCATGTGTGCACGCATGCACACACACCCACACACACTAGTGTGGGGCTTTTCTTCAGGTTTTTGCTAATATAGGATTAAATCTCTACTAAACCTCCTCCTCCCCTTTCAGTCACCCTGTCAGACTCCTCCGGGGCTGTTTTTTGTTTAAGGCGTTGTTGCCCCCTGACAATGTAGGCCAAAAACCTCTGTGAGTTCTGGTGCTCAGGCCCCTAATCTTGTCAGCCAAGTCCAAGAGAGCTTAGTTAATCTCTGAAAGATGGCAGTCCTGCGGAATCTAA